CCACGGGGCAGCCAGAACGGGAAAGCAAAAAAAACCCAAAAAACCTGCAGCGCGGCCGGAGCGCGGGGGCAGGGGGACGGGGAGGGAGCGGGCAGGCGGGAGAGAGAGAGAGAGAGGAAGGGGGGCGGCCAAGGCTACAGCAGGGCGCTGCCACGCGGCCCCTCCCGCCGGAAGGGCTCTGCTCCGGTTGGCGGGGAGGGAAGGACGAGGACTGCCCTGCCGGGCGCCTCTTGGAACAAAAAAGGCGGCTGTGCCACCCTAGGATTGGGCCGAATGCCGCCTCGTTCAATCTGCCGCCCCAAGCACCAGCTTGCTCGGCTGGTGCCTGGAGCCGGCCCTGGGCACGCTCAAGGCAGACACGCTAAGGCTCCATCTCAGGCCAAAGCAGTTGAGAAGTAACTGAAGGCAGTTCACCCACGCATCCCTATATAGTCTTGGTGTGCGGCATCAGGATACAGAGGATGCATGTGCAGGCCAAACACTGCTAACAGAAAACTCTCCAGTCAAGGGCTCAAGAACACCTGCAGTGGAGCACCCAAAGGGACACTACTCGAAGCACCAGCTAAAGTTGATAAACCGAAATTGTGGGATTTGGATAGCATTTAAGATTCCGAATATTCATTAACGACTTGTTACAAGACCATTCTTAGAATGGCTTCTTTTAAGTAACTGATTTAAATACTCTTCCCCCCCACCCCCCACCCATAGGACTTAGTTAAGATTAGAGAGACAAGGTGAGTGAGGTAATATCTTTTATTGAACCAACTTCAGTTGGCGAGAAAGACAAGCTTTCGAGATACACAAAGCTCTTCCTGAGGTCTGGGAAAGGTACTCAGATGTTCCAGCTAAATACAAGGTTGAACAGATAGTTTAGCATAAGTAGTTAGCACTAGTTATTGAAGTTGGTTCAATAAAAGCTATTACCTCACCCACATTTCTGTCTAATATCCTGGGACTGACATAGCTACGACAGCACTGCATGTAACAATTAATTAAGATTGGAAAAAGTGAGTATTTATAAACTATTTAGCTCATCCATAATAAACCAGGCAGGACTTACCTACCCTTTGCCATGTATAAACTTTTTCAGTTATTTATGACACACAGAGAGGACTGAGTATTGATTTTGGGACTAATGAACCTTGGCTGTAGTTTACCTACATAAAAGTGTCCCATCCAAGTGCAGACCCATTCTCTAAAGTGTAATCTCTATTAAAAGCTGTCCACAGAGTCATAGAGAAGCAACAGTAATTGAAGTAACCATTGCATGTTGTTTGTGTTTTGTTTATATTTTCCTTTCTTTAATAAGGAAATAGTCATAGTTAATAACTGCGACTGTTTTGCTTGTCTTCAATCCTGGTGTCCCCTAAGACAGTGATTTTCAACCTTTTTTCATTTGCATCCCCCTTTGGAAATTTCAAATGGAGGTGCAGACCCCCTTGGAAATCTATTGTTGAGTTGAATTCTGTTCAGTCAGTTTTCAGTCTAAGTCTTTCGCGGACCTCAAACTTAGTCCATGGACCCCTGGGTTGAGAACCACTGTCCAGAGGCATAAAAAGGACCGTGTGTGACTAAAACAGTGGGAGTGATATCCCTGAGTTGGTATTAAGAGACATAATTATTAAGATTTGGCCTACTATTTCTTGTTTTTCTAGACTATACATTTTAGTAATTTGGGGGATTATATAACTTGGCACTCAATAACTGAAGACACTGCTTTCTACCCCACAACATGTCAACCACAAGGAACAAACTACACAGAATCCAAATGTTCTTCCAAATAATTGTAACTTGTCCCACAATGACGAAGTTCACAATTACAGCTGCAGGAAATAACATACTGAGAGCTTTTTGGAAACTCTGGTACTACTACTCAATGACAATGCCACAACAACTAGAGTGACAGGACAGCACAAGACTGCAATGTCATGCAGTGATCATCCTTAAATGACATATCAGCTGCTTCACAAGAAACGAACACCTGACTATACACCAGCAAAGGCAACAAAACAGCTTTCTAAAACAAAGCCTCAGACTAAAACCCATTTTTTTAGACAAAGAGGAAGAATGGTCTTGCGGTTAAGGAACTGCCTTAAGGACTCTAGGTTCAATTCCCACATCTGTGTCTCACTTCCTATGTGACCTTGGGTAAGTTGCTTTCTCTCTCTGGCTCAATTCTTCATCTACAAAATGGGGGTAATACTACTTCCTTTCTTCCACCCTTTGTCTATTTAGACTGTAACCTCCTTGGGGCAGAGACTGTCTCTTACTTCGTATATGTACAGCACCCAGCACAAGGGAGCCACAAATTCTGTTGAAGCCTCAAAGGCATTACAGCAAGACAAATAAGTAACAGAAATTCAAAATAAGTTGGCAGCATCCCTATAAATTATAGAACATAAGCACAAAGTGACTAGAAAATAATCACTCAGACTTAAGAGCTCCTCAGACTAGAGACCCTGACTTATATTAGGAAAGCACTTAGCACACTGTGATCACTACTGGAAATAAAGCATATCCACTGAGGGGACATGCATGAGAACGGTGCCCCCAGACTGCCCAGCTAGCTCCTAGTTAAAGACATAGGGCCAAAGAGCAGCCACTACATGAAGGACAACCTACAGGCAGGCTGGGGGTTGGAAAAAACATTTCAGCTTGTATATACAGAAAGCCCAAAATCTCATCTCCTAGCACATTCTTCTCAACACTGCACTTTCCAAAGAGATGGTTACTCACACAAAGATGTTGTCTTTTGGCATGATGTGACTTAACCCTTCATCCATTTGGAAAATTTTGTGGAATCGGTGATTATAAACATCTGTCACCACCATCTAAAAGAGTGAAGTTAGAGACAGTTAGACAAACTAAAATAATTCACAATTCTAGAAACAGTTCCTCATTTTTCTTTCTCAGACATTTTTCATGTACACGTCACCAAAGTGTTGATGGAGGCTCTATAGTGACACCTTATGGTTGATCCGACATACTATTAACTGAATCTAATCAAACCAATGAGGCAGAGAATAACAATTGGGCCTGATTTTTCAGAGGCATTGAGTACCTGCAGCTCCCAGTGGCTTCACGTCAAGCACAGTGGCCACTGTCCTGTGAAGATATCATCATACATCCCAGTGCATCAAGTCCCAACAGGCTGGGATGTAAGACAGAGATAACCGAACACTTAATAACTACAAAGGAACTGAACTAATCCTCTGAACTGGCATGAGGTAACAAGTTATATACATGGGAATCCAGACAACTTCCCACGAACCACAGGTTTCAAGCCTGATGTTTTAATGGACAATAAAATTATTCACTTCTTAAGCAAGATAAAGCACATCCCATTTCCTGTTGCTACTAAGGAGATTTCTAAGGAATAGATACCCCCAAAGTAGTAATATGAGGGGGTAAAAAGGATAAATTAAGACAAGTTGCAATGGTAGTGGCAGTCATTTTTCTGTCTCTTCCCTCACATACACACACCCTTTTTAAAACCATTATTACTGTCATTTCTGTAATGGAGGTAACAAAGTGAACAGGGCTTGCCTGTGTCATGGCTTTCTCTTTAGAATTCAGGCAAGCAAGGAGTTATGTATCAGTCCAATTAGTTAATGCTTAGTTACTATTTTGCTCCTCTTTGCTTATTGTCCATTTCAAAGTTTTTCCAATAATAAAATGCTTTAAAAAGAAAGAACACATTTATTAGCAAAATTATTGTGTGTGCTTGGTCTTACATTTTCTGCAGGGATCTTGGAGAGTTTGGAAAGAGCTTCACACAGGTCTGATACAGCCCCCATCATTGGCACAACTACCCGATACTGGAAACAGAGAGAACGTTAAACTTACACGAGGCAAAATAAATCCAAGCATGGAGCAGAACGTTAGCAAATGGGAGTTTGGCCATTCGTTAGTCCTGACATCTTAAAAGCAGAGAATTCTATGGCAAGTGGGGTTTCCAGTCACACTTGGCTGTCTTCAGTGTCTCAGGCTCAGATTTAAAGATTTGAAGCCCAGACAGCCACAGCACAGATAACAGAATTTCACCCAGCAATTCCTCTGTCTAGTCCAATAACTTGGGGTGAAGCTTTTAGAAAGACATCCAATCTTGATTTCAAGTGATGGAACAATCCACCACACTGCCCCAAAAAGCTGTTCCAATGGTTAAATACCCTTACTGTTGAAAAATCTATGCCTTATTTGCTCTCTGAATTGCTTCCATTTCCAGCCACTGGATATTGCAATTAACATTGCAAAAGGTACCATCCTAGAGAAACTCTCCCAGAAGGTTTTGACTTTATGCATCTAAAGCAGGGGTGGACAAATTTTTTGGCCCGGGGGCCATATCTGGGAATAGAAATTGTATGGCGGGCCATGAATTCTCACCAAATTGGGGTTGGGGTGAGGGCTCTGGTTTGGGGTGGGGCCAGAAATGAGAAGTTCAGGTGCGGGAGGGGGCTCTGGGCTGGGGGAATGGGGGTGTGTGTGAGGGCACAGGCTGGGAATGTGGGCTCTAGGGTGGGGCTGGGGATGAGGAGTTTGGGGTAACAAGAGGGTGCTCTGGGCTGGGGCAGGGGGTTGGGGTGTGGGAAGGGGTGCAGGCTCCAGCTTGGGGTGCAGGCTCTGAGGTGGAGCTGGGGATGAGATGTTTGGGGTGCAGGAGGGTGCTCCGGGCTTGGATGGAGGGGTTCGGAGGGGCATCAGGGCTAGGGCAGGGGGTTGGGGCACAGGGGAAGGCTCAGGGGTGCAGGCTCCAGGTGGTGCTTACCTCAAGCGGCTCCTGGAAGCAGTTGCATGTTCCTTCTCCGGCTCCTATGTGGAGGCGCGGCCAGGCGGCTCTGCATGCTGTCCCATCCGCAGGCACCACCCCTGCAGCTCCCATTGGAGCACCGGAGGGGGCCATTAGAGCGGGGCATTTGGAGTGCGTAGGAGCCGGAGGGGGGCCATGCTGGGGCTTCCGGGAACTGCATGGAGCGGCCCCCAACCCTGTTCCCCGGCAGGAGCACCAGAGGGGGGCCATGCCACGGCTTCCAGAAGCTGCACCCGACCCTGCTCCCCGGCTGCAGCGCCAAAGCAGGGCAAGGCCCGCTCCATAGAGGGAGCTCGAGGGTCGGCTTAAAACAGCTGGTGGGCTGGATCCAGCCCACAGTTTGCCCGGATCCAGCCCACAGTTTGCCCACCCCGATCTAAAGCACGCACCAGGAAAGGAGGAAGCCACGGTCAGGTTGGCTGGATTTCTACTATACCTCATGTAAATTGGAATTAACCAATGTGTCTTCCTGCAAATCATTTCTCCAGAACTATCTAACTCCCATAAGGATATCACATAGACACTGGCTAAAACCAGAGATTTCCTATGGCCACTGGGAATACTTTGCAGAGAGAAATAAATATTTTCCGGACACGAGAAGAAGAGACAAGTTGAGACTAACACCAGGAGTCAAGCTCTCCCCTCACTTCCGCTCAAGGCCTTCCACTAGTCTCCATCCTCCTCATCCCAGGAATGGTAGGCTCTCCAAGCAAGCACTAACCCCTTGGGAGCCAATCAACACTACCAGAGCCTACCGGCATCAGGCACCTGCAGCCCACCATGGCCTTCCAGCAACGAGTGCCACACTCCCATGCCACCACGTGAATTGAACTTTTCTGTACAAAAAAAAAAGTTATTCAGCTCATGCAATAGCTGTCTCCTGCCTGTGATTAGGGTGTGTGTGTGTGTGTGTGTGTGTGTGTGTGTGTGTGTGCGCGCGCTGCCCCAGCTTTGCGCAAACAGCCATCACAGCAGACCTCAAGCGAACTGCCCAATGACCACAAGATCCTTAAGGTACAAAGGCACCAAGCCAGGTTTATTGTTGACAAAGCATGGTAATAGAACCTGGTAGACTCTACAAGGATAGTAAGACATGTATGCCCATGACAAGAATGCAGCTCAGCGAATGGCAGACTTTCCATTCCCCCCTCTGGACAAAGATACTCCCTCTGAGATACATCTTTATACCCGAATACAAACAAATTATGTACTACCTCTGACATAGTTATTGCCCCCGATGTGGCTAGTTATCATCTTGTACATGTTGGTTCAATCAAAACATCTTTATTACATATTGTCATTCTGACCTTATCTTTTAGTAGGGGTCAGCGTGTTCCTGTTATCCTTATGGAATGTTTTTGTACCATCCTTAATATCGGGATGTTCTGGTACCACTTGATATCGGGATATGTTTGCGTGAGTACTCTGTGCTTAGCACTTCTTAGGAATGTGTATTTCTGCAATATCAGCCCTGTTCTTGCCAGATTCTGTGAGCAGGTCCTGCCTCATAGCAGGCCTCTGATACAAGGGTTTATGTCTCCGGCTCTCTTCCTACTACATTGCTCACTTCCTGATTCCTGCTCCAAGGGACAAGTCAACATGCACCATGCCAGTGACATATCAGAGGAAAGAGGTCACTTACCAGAAACTGTCATTCAAGAGTCTCCTCTGTGCAAGCAGACACATCTAAGGCCCCTCCCATCCAGCATCAACCTTCAGAACCCTCTTCAAAAGCATTGTTGTCAGGAAATGCATGCACACCCCCTTCTGGTACCAAACGTTCAGCATACGAGATTATGTAAGGGAGCACACCAGCTCCATCACCTTCATTCCTTCTCCTGAACTGCAGAGACCCATTTACATGGAGAACTCTGAAGTAAAAGGGAATACAGGAAGGTATTGTGAATGAGCAGAGGCAACGCTCAAAGAACAACAGTTACTGATGAGTTGCCTTTCTTCTCTGAGGGCCTCTGAACATTCCCATCTAGGGGAGCAGTGAGCGGTATTGCCCATATGGAAGGTGGGAGCGGAGTTTTAATGAATTAGAAACTGTAGCACTGCCTTCCCAAACTGAGCATTTAAACAGGGTGCTACGTCGTACCTGGTGAGTGACACTGAACATAGTTACAAGAGTGTTCACATACTGGTCCCCGTTAGCGTCTCTGAATCTGCAAATCCTGCTGAACACCTACTATTACAGTAAAACTAAAGAATATATCTAGGCCTACAGAGCAACACAGTCATCAGCGTAACCGACCAACTGTACCTAAAGGTTGACGCAGTCATCAGCATCATACAAAAGGGTCCTCATCAGGGCAGCACTGATAATAATATCAGCAAATGTCAAAGGGCTCTTGGGTGCCAAACAAGACCTTATAGCCAAAATGTGCCCTTACTCTCACTGCCTCCAGGAGACACAGAGAGGGATTAACAGCCACTGCCCTGGATATTTGGGATGAACTTGACAATTGAAAGACCACACAAGCAATATGGCAGTGCCATTTTTGTCTAACTTAATCTTGTCATCAACAACACATCTATGACTGATAACAATGACATTGAAGTCCTGACTGTAAACACTGGTAGCATTTCCACTGTGTCTGTCTATAAACTGCAGTGCAAACAATTCAAGTTAACAAGCCCACAACCCTGAACGTGACAAAACGCAGGTGATCATTGGTCATAACGTCAAATGGGGCTATCGCGTAACTGATAAAAATGATGAACCAGCTGAATTGTGGCCAAATGCACACCACTTAATTCAGAATCCTAAGCTCTCCAGTTCTTCCAACAGCAGCTGATGGAAATGAGGCTACAACCCTGATCTGGCATTTATCAGCAACAACATAACTGGTTCAGGTCACAAACTTAGTTTGTGCACATGTGCAGCGCCAGCCCATCGCCATCCAGAATGCAGCTGTAATGCCAAACTCAGTACAATGCTGGTGCTGCTTTAATTTTAAGAAAGTAAAACGGAAGAGCTTCTCCAATGACCTCGATGCCATTGTAAGAAATATTGAACGAATACCAGAAAATTATGACCAGTTTGTCAATGCATGGTCTCGAAAAAGCATAATCCACAAGGCTGGAGAACAAACTATGTGCCGGGAACAACATCCAACTTATCAGATTAGTATGCAAAATGCAAGCAGAACTTCAAAGCAGACCCATTCACTGAAAGACAAAAAAATGGTCTCTAGACTAAAGGAGGAAAAACAAAAGTCATAAAAGAATCTCACTGAGAGCGTGCACATGACCCAGAGCAGTAAGAAGCATGGATTAACCATCTGGAAACAACCACCCAAGGACAGCAGAGCAACACTACACATTTACTGCAGAAAGGTCACACAACAACTCCTAAAAAATGACTGGGCACCAAACGAACAGCCCAAGATACAGCTTAAGTGGCAAGAACTAGGAAACGTACAATTTTGGGGCACAGTATGCAACGACCAAATTAACCTCCAGAATTAACACCCTCAAGAATGGCAAAGCCACTAGTCTAGATGACATTTGTATTCAACATATCAAACACTTTGGATCAGGAATAAAGAACTGGTTACTCAAGTTGTTTAGCACATGCTCAGCCAAATACAAAGTACCCAAGATCTGACAATGAACACATGTTGTGGCACTCCTGAAGCTGAGGAAGGACGCAACAGAGTCAAAGAACTTTAGGCTTATATCACTACTATGTCACCTCAAGAAACTACAGGAGCATCTTATCCTAAAACACCTATTACCACTCACTGAAAAGCATCTAATCCCAGAGCAAGCTGGATTCTACCTAGGCAAGTCATGCACCAGTCAAGTGCTGAATATCACTCAATACATCAAAGATGGCTTTGAAAAGTTTGTGGTAACAGGGGCCATGTTTGTCAGCTTAGCAGCAGCATACAGTAGTGAAATATTAAAAGCTCCTCACTAAAATATATAACATGACAAAAGATCACCACCCCAAACGACTGATATCAATTGATATTAGAGAACCAATGTTTATATATCAAACTA